AATGAACGACCACAGCTTGTCTTCAGCTCCATCCAGTCCTCTGACTCTGGACAGTATTTCTGTAGAGCTGAGAACTCGCTGGGGGCGAAGACATCTAAAGACATATTTGTTGATGTGAAATGTGAGTGAAACATTGTTTTAAAGCTTTAATCTGTCCTTTCTTTGCTGGAGAATATTTATATGATCTTTACTACTTTCTTCAGCTCTATAGCTTCACATTCACCGTCTGCTGTAATGCTCTTAATAGCTTAAGGTGATTTTAAGATACTTAAAAAAATTACATTTATGACCTTCAAATTGATCCATTAATCCAAAATGCAACATTTGAGGAAGCCATGTAAATATTTAAAACCTCCTGTTGGGAATGACCCGGGTCTCTCTGAATCTCCAGACTCTCCAAAGCCTCCCCTCTGTGTCCGTGAGTCCCTCTGAGATAGAGGAGGGCAGTTCAGTGACTCTGACCTGTAGCAGTGATGCTAACCCAGCAGCTAACTACACCTGGTACAAGGAGGATGAAGACTCTCCAAAAGCTTCAGGACAGATCTTCACCATCACTGACTTCAGAGCTGAACACAGTGGGAGTTATTCCTGTGGAGCCCAGAACAAGTTAGGGCGTAGTAACTCCACCTTTCATTTGAGTGTTGGAACAGGTAATGTTTATGCATTAATCTACTCCCACACACTTATCAACTTGTTTGTTTTCAGTCACATTGTCTTGGTAGGAGGCTGAAAAAGGAATGCGTGTTCAAATGTACTTTTCCGCTTCAGGACAGGGATTGTTTTCTGTCTATTACATAAGGAAATAATTATACAGAGGGTCCAGATTCAGTATGGGGTGCAGTCATTCCCTCTGCACTCGTTCATCCCAAAACTAACAATCTCATAAATGTATTTCCATTTGTTTCAGCACTTGAACATTGAACAAGTGCTTTTTTTTTACATTATTTTAAAAGCAAATTATAGTATCATTAGTTTAGGAATAGGAAGGTTGAAAATAAAGTCCCACACACCCCCTGTAATACTCCAAAGTGCCCCTAGGGGTCCTTGTATCCATATATGAGAAACACAGCTGTATTCACTGTCTGTTCTCTGTTGATCTCTGTTTCTCAGGATCATGGAAGCTACCAGCTGCTGTATCAATCTCTGTTGTTCTCCTGGCTGTCATTTCTCTCTCTGTCTTCCTGTGGATCAGGTGAGCAGATCTGTTCAACTTAATCATTGTTTGTTAAATCATTAAAAGTCTGTTCGTATGGTGCCAACATTTGATCTTCTGTTTCTTCATAAACTCTCCTAACCAGAAGAAAGAGGGCTTCTAGAGACTCCTCTGAGCCTGAAGAGAGAGCGGACAACAGGGAGGAGGTGAGAATAGATACTTATGTAATTAATCTAGTACAAAATCAAACATATTACATGAGGACTATTTCATGGTCTTTAATTGCTTATAGAAAATGTATCTGACAGAGAAAGACCTCCTCCTGCTCATTTTACATCCTTCTATAAAAGTTCATTTAGATGAGATTCTCTTATTGTCTTAGATTTGAATACATTCCTAATACATCCAGAAGTGTTCCTACCTTTTCTCATTTCCATCATTACCACAGCTGCTTTTGCTTTGGTCTTCTGTCCTGTATGCAATTTTCTGTAAATGAAATACATATTAATGTATAAATGTGTAGCTGAAAGTGCTTTTATTCCTGATTAGGGACAGTCGGAGCAGCAGGATGACCTTCAGTATGCCAGCGTTCACTCATCCAACAACCGGGCAGACCCTCTTTACTCCAACATGAGAGAAGCTCAGCCCCTCAGACACACGGAGCAACAGGAAGTCCCGGAGTACGCTGCCGTCAAGTTCAGCAGTGCTGCCCCGAGGTGAGCAGATCCTCACACAGGAACATTGCCCTCATTACAAGATTAAAGTTACACAACTCAATCAATTCATTAATTTAGCATGAATATTATTATTAATAAATACATCATTTATCTCTCAGGATCAGAGGTCAGGACCCTGAAGAGGATCCAGCTGCATTGTATAGCACGGTCAACAAATCCAGATAAACACAGCAGGCGTTGCTTTTCTTATATTTTCGTAATTCTTTTACATTAAAATCTGTAATTTCCAGGTTAATTAAGATTTGTTTTAAATATAGGATGTGCTTCACCAATATTGTGTCATAGAAACAATTATATCTTGGAGAGACTTACATTTATACGTTCAACATTGTTTAACCAATTTATTTTACTCTGATTGGGTCAGCTGCATTAAGTATGGAATATAAAGTGTTTTTTATTACGAGGTAGCTTTAGCCGCAACAGTTGGCTTCCCACTGCCATCTTTTTTTGTCCAAAAACTGTAAATATTACGGATTATATTTTACTGCTCACAAATAATTTCCATTGTTTTTTGAGTACATTTCTCTCCATTCAAATAATATATCTTCACCATGTTCCTCTTCTTGTCCCGACTGAAATAACTCAACACCTACTCGGTGTTAGAGCATTTTGTTCATGTACATATATTGTTTTACAATTTCTTTCCATTTTTGGATCATTTGTAATATTCTTATTAATAGTCTTTAATTAAGTACAACTATACATGTTTGCTCTTGAAAAGCACATTGATATTGCATAGGAACATCTGGCAGCTTATCTAGTTGCAGTTTCATCCTGCTGCCACTAGGTTTCAGTAGAGAGCTGTATTTCACTGATAAAAAAACATTTCCAAGAGCCTGTCAAGTGCATTTCCCTTTGTGTGGGTACGGTCATTTTCCCTACGTTCTTTGTCTTTCTTTTTACCAGTTCCATTATTCACATTTCAGAGAGTTACATGTAGTTGTTCTGTAGGTATATAACCATCACAGCTCATTACAACTGTTTATCATGCTTCCTTTTTTATAACTGTTATAATGACCCTTTTCTTGTGTGCTGTATAACATGTGTTTACATTTTCCTTGTGCTGGTCTGTGTTGATTTGCGTTAATAAAAAATATGTCCATACTAGTGCCATTACCTGTGATGTCAAAATAAAAACAATCGCATGTGTCTGCTTAAAATAAAAACGCTGGAAACAGTCAAAAGAAAATAAGCTGCAGTGATGAAAGTGTCACACTGAGTGAGTAAAGAGTGTGACCACAGCACAGCCACAGTCCTGCTCTTCACTGGACAGTGTGGTGTTACAGCTACATGCATTAGCTGATCTAGTTGCAGTTCCCCACTGCTGCCACTAGGTTAAAGTAAAGAGCCATATTTCACTGATAGAAAACTATTTCCAAGAGCCTGTGAGTATATTTATACGTTGTGTGTAGACCATAGAATGTATTTATAAAGGTTTAGAAACTCCTTCTTCCCACATATAGGTTTTACACCTGTTATTACGACTCTTCTGGATTTCATGTGTTTATATTTTTCTTATTCTGTTCTGTATTCTGAGGACTGCAGATGGATATTAGCTATAATCTGGCATAATTCATATCTTCTCTTTTCTGAGTTTAATGTCTTTGTGTGTATGCTCTTTGAAATAAATATATACTATCTATCTATATATATATATATATCATTTTTGCTTTAATTAAAAAGGTTAAGATTGCCATAACTCATATTTCCATAAGATGTGATTTCAAAATAGAAGAATGGTATGTCTTTGCTTGACATAACAACACTGAAAACAGTAAATAAATGAAAAGCTGCAGTGATGAAAGTCCAGTGTCAGGATACATTAGAAGGGGACACATAAAGGCTGACTGTCCCACTGAGTCTTCACTGACGGAAACACTGATAGCTAAGTTTCACTTTGTGCTGCAGATTGTACTTTGGTCGGGTTTTACATCCACATTTTTTAAACAGTGACTTTATAAAATTATCTTTCTTGAGAAATAATCTTCTCTTGTTAGTCTGGGCCGGGTGGTCTGGTGTTGATGATACAAGTTCAGCACAAAACTGCTGTCTTTCTATGAAACAACAAACTTCTTAAACTAATACTGTGAAGAGGAAGGAATTGGTGTTTTTTCTCACCTGATCTGCATCACTGTTCTACTTTCGAGCCCAGAGAGGGACATTAAAGGGTAAAAGGCTGACAGGCAGGCAGGTCGGCCATCCAATCCTTTTAGCCGGCCCTGCTAAAATGATTGGATGGCCGACCTGCCTGTAGCCTTCCATCTGTGCACAAACTTATCTCGTGCCCTCATTGGTCATGTGCGCGTTCGTTTGTGTTGGAGGAGGGGCTCTGGAAGGAAGTCTGAAGGAAGGGGCAGATTTTTTCGGCTGCTTACTTTCAAATTCTAGCGCACTCGAGCTGGTTTCTCCATTCTTACCTACCCTACCTTTAATGTCAGCTTAGTAAATTATTATCTACAATGGACTACGCTTAACTAACAGACTCATTTACACCACTCATGGATCACACCCACCTTTTCTTTTGAAAAACTGGGTGACATACTGTCGCCCTTTAGTCTGTCTCTCTTGTCTTTCTCTCCTTTCTTTTCTTTTTCCAAAGCCTGACTTTGTTAGTCGTGGAGACATGGTACACACCAGGGGCCTCATTTATAACGCCTTGCATAGGATTCACGTGGGAAGGTTGCTTACATAGTACAAAGCAAAAAAATAGGTACAGACATTTTTTCCGATTCACAAAACATTGCGTGCCCTTCCTACGCCGGTTTCCCTTTATAAATCACAATCGACTCGAAATGCGGCGTAGCGTTTGCGGGCTTCACGTAACGCCCTATATTTGCCTATAAATAGTCAAAGAAACGCCCACTTCATTCATTTTGACTGACTGCATGAAGAAGATCGCAGGAATGACGACAGAACAGCTAAAAAAACATCTCACACCGTGTTAAATTTAGGTTATTATGGGGAGGTCGAGATAAATCATATTGTAT